ACGAAAATTAGGTGTCTATTTACTTGTGACCACTCAGTGTATATAGCTAATATCACTCCCGAGAAGATTTGTAAAATAATAAATAGTAATTTTTCAACCTTAAATATTTTTTCCCCCAAAGACTATAGTCTAAGAAATTGCTTTCCAAACTTTTTTTCATACCAACACACTATGTACGTACCAAAATTAATCTGACACTGCAGAGACGAATATAAACTAGTATAAACTGGCATGTCAGGGCTCCCCACTTTACCTGCCACTACACAAGACTGCATTGGTGAATCTTTTTTGTGTCACATGCCCAAAAAGAAATATAAAACATAAGATAATTTTGTGTGCCACATACTTTATATTACTGAATTTTATATCAACTATAAATAAAAACTTAAAATATTTTGTACAATTTCTGAAAACATGGCAACAACCCTCAGAGCACGACGTGGCACTACAAGGTGTCATAACACCCACTTTCGAAAGCACTGGTCAAAGGAAATATTATGTACAAGACATTAATTATAAAGTAATTATGAACATTATTAAAAATTAACAAAGTAAGCAGTAGTTCATAATAATCATTTCTTATTTTGCATTCAATGTATTTTGCAAAAATATTATATTTAAATCATGTGCATAAAAAAAATATTAAAGTATGAATAATTTTTATCAAAGACCAATTTAAAAAATCTGTAACACTAAATCTACAGAGATTAAGATTTTTTTTTATTAATATACATTAAGTTCTTTAATTTCATCAAACAAGTTTAAAACTTAAACCAAATACCATACTAAAAACTGTTCTTCCTACTTAGTTTACTATAGGCAGTTTTATAGTTTTGTCTGTTACATATTCACAACTAGGGGACACAAACCCTAGGAATTTACATCAACTGTTAGGTCATGCACAAAATAAATAGTATTTTGCAGTGACTTATTTTTTAATAATGATAATATTCTCTTCCATGTAAACTAATCAAATATCAATAATATATAATAGCCATGTTTTCATCTCAATCAAAAAGGGTTTGTTATGTACTTTTGAATTCCTGTTATCAACACATTCACCATATAAACAAGTGCAATAAAAATGTGAGGTGATGCAAAACTCTGGCAACAGACTAAAATTAAATTGGGGAACACAAATATCAATTAAATATTTATAACCTGATGTTCCTAAGGTGCACAGAAATGTCAGGTATTAAACAGTTCATAGCATTTTTAGTAAATTCTTCTTTATTTTTTACTGCATTTACCTAGGTTATTCACTTAATTTACTTTTGTCAAAATAAACAGTTGCTTTTTCTGTGTTATCTGTAATGGTCCACTACACAACCTTATAGTTATAAAGCAACATGCCACAACCATTTATCTTAGATGTGAAGCTCATCTAAAGTTACACTATCAGATCCATCTAATGTGCTTTCCTTGACCAACTGATGTTGTTAGAGTGAATCATATGAAGTTATTGCTTATACCGATATAATGCTTTAAGAAAGATATAGGGAATCAGTGAAGATAACTAATTATGCACATTCTAGGAGACCAAAGTGTGTTTGTTTTACCACATTTTGGAAAACAAGTTACTGGACAAAATAGTTTGTTGTTGAAGAGTATTTACCTCAAAATCCACTTTTAAGGAAATTAGTTTTTCCAATGTAACTTCTTTTGAAAAGTTATTTTATATTACTTGAAATTAAGTTATCATTCATTCTGACAAATTACCCGAGTCGTTCCATGTGGAAAATTCATTATGCTGACAAGAGTACGCTCCTCAAAGTGATCTTTCGCTAAATAACCATCATTACTTGAAACACTGGACAATGTATCTGTAAAACAACATAAAATGCCAATATTTAAAATTTCAGTACATTATAGTCTTTCAATGCTTTCTTAATATTAACTCATAATAAATACATTTTTAAAAGTTATGATGCATGAAAAAAAAACAGGTTCACTTAGTTTTAAATCAAAATAATTTTAGCTTTTTGCATCCCATATTTATTTAGACTTTTCACATTCAGAAAGTCTTACTACTCCTTTGAATGCTAGATTTCAAAATCAGCATGTGAACTTACTAATTATAAAACTCTGCAGAAAAATATTTATAAAACAAATCTTTTTTTTTTCAAATGTGTATTTTCATACATTACTAAAAACACAAAAGTATACCCAGTTTGAAAAACAACAACAAAAATTTATGGAAAACAGTTTCACATGCTTAAATACAAATTTCACAAAACGGTAACATTCAGACACTTTTCCTGATGCTCAAATAAGATATCTAAATATGTAGACATTTAAAATATGTTACATGATAGTTTTTTAAAATTATGAACATGAATAAACATTACAATGCTTTAAAATGTAGATCATTAATTAATCAGCTGGATTTTTAAACATAATAATATTTATACAGAAAATCTCTTTATGAAAAGCTATAAGGCCTCGTTTCTATGTGTTATAAAAAGAAAAAATTATGAATATTCAAATCTAACCCTCAAATACTGACTTGATAAAGGTTTCCTTCTATAAGCCAAGCAAGGATCCACGACTGTTGGAAATACATAGTCATGCCACAATCTTTGTGGATAATATGGAGTATAATGAGACTCTGAGGGAGAGGGCCTGCTGTTTCTCGTCCTATAATTCATTGGTTGGTGGAATACTAGTTTCCTCTGACTAACCCTTTCTAAGGGTAGAGGTCCAACATACTCCAAAGGTGGGGGCCCATCGTGCTCCAAGGGTGGAGGTTTGTCGTACTCCAAGGGTGGAGGTTTGTCGTACTCCAAGGGTGGGGGTTCGTCGTACTCCAAGGGTGGGGCCCGTCGTACTCCAAGGGTGGGGGCCCGTCGTGTTCCAAGGGTGGGGGCCCATCGTGTTCCAAGGGTGGAGGTCCATCGTGTTCCAAGGGTGGAGGTCCATCGTGTTCCAAGGG